CACACACACACACACACACACACACACACACGCGCGCGCGCGCGCGCGCGCGCGCACATAGTGAGAGAGAGAGAGAGAGAGAGAGAGAGAGAGGGAGAGAGAAGAGAAGAGAGAGAGGGGAGGGGGCGAGAAAATCTTGAAATCTACTCAAAGGACTCAAGTTCATGAATGTTGGCAATACCAACCAGAGTTAGACATCTTGCAGTCCCGAATGATGCCTGTAAATCATCCTTTGTAGGATGGTAAAACAGGAGGCAAATGCATGCACTTTGTTAATGGCATCCTGTCGTTTATGTACAATTATGGGAATTTGCAAAGATAGAAATACTACTTTGTTAAAGATAGGTTCTAAGCGCTTGATGCCCCCCTGGAGATGTGAGAGATGTATAATAAATATTAATAGGCCGGTTTATGGACTTTCTTTGACGTGTAATGCGGTGTTCACACATACAGGAGTAATGAAGCCGAGTAAGACCAAATTTCCAAGTCCAGCAGGTCGGGGTACATTTCACCGAGTAATCGGCCTCCCTCCCCGAGTGATATTTCATGCTCGCCGTGTGAAATTATTACACGGGAAGCTTGCTGAAATTTTCAAACATGCTTAAAATTTTCGCCAAGCGATAATAAGTCGCCGAGTCAATAATTCGCTCGAGGAAAACTCGAAGAGGACTCGGGGAGTGTCAAAAATAGCTCGGCGTGCAAAGCTGCATACGTTGCAGAGTGACAAAGACACGCCGACGAGATCTGAATGGGAGTCGTGTTATAGTTCATACTCTGCGGGTTGAATTATTGCTCGCTGTATAAAAATCTTGCACGGGGAATCTGAGTTACTCAAGCACGGCGTGCAAACGTTGACACGACTAGCTTCGCGCCCCTACCACATAAACGCACAGCACACCGTCCCTGCCATTCTTACGTTACTATGCCTCCGAAGACCAAATCCGTATTCATGTGTGCCAAGCCCTGCTGTCCAGCCTGCCTTCATGAGCTTTCTCGATACTTCTGTTGCTGCTGCACCCAGTCCTGCTCCTGCTGCTTCTGAAGAAGAGCCCAGAATGTCTTCTAGTCCTAGATTTGCATCTCCGGTGGTTCCAGTGACTGTCTCCAGAAGGTGTTTGCATTCTGGATGGTGGGGCCACTTTTCTCAAGTAGTTCTTCGAAAAAAAATTATAGTTTAGCAAAATTTGATAATTTTTTGGCACAATTTCTGATTATTTTCCTTTATCATTCTTTGATAAAATTAACGAAATTGCATAATTTCACATTTTTGGGCTCAGTTTGCATAATTTCAGAATTTTGTTTGCATAAAACTGCGGGGACAGATACAGTGGTTTTCTTATAAGCCATGGTCTAACCCAACAGGTCCTCCTCCTCCTCTTCCTCCTCTTCCCCTCATTTTGCATTGGCAGAACCTCAAGGGCACCATAATTATGTATACATGAAGTCTGTGTCATATGAGACATGTTGAAGGAATGAGCACAAATATTTTGCTCCCCTCCTTATTTATTATAACTTTGCAAGCCAACTAACTCGGCGACGGGTCGGCAAGATGGTCAGCATAGTCGGCGAGTTTGTCGGCGTGTGAAATTGTACTCGCCGCTACGTTTTTTTTTGTCTTTGCAAGCGGCCAGGATTCAATCTAATTGCTCGGCAAGACGCTCGGTGAGATGCTCGTCGTCCTAAATTATTGCTTGGCGAACGTCTCCCAGAGTGTTCGCTGACACAATAATGTCAACAGTCATGGCCTGATGCTCGTCACGCTTAAACCCGAATTTGGCATTATCTTATCGGGAATTGCTCGTCGACTCTTCTCCTGTATGTGTGAACACCGTATAAGCTTTGGGTTGACAGGGCTACTAATTAGCATTCGGCCATTGCTTCTTCTCTCTATCTCCTCTGTCTCGCCATGTGTGCCACCATGTCTGCTTAACGTCTTTCGGCCACTTCTGTCAACCAGTCGCGGTCGTGCGTCTTCCCTTTTCTTATTATATTTTATCATGTAACTCTCTCACTGTTGGACCTGTTCAGGGGGCTCTCGTGGCCTAGAGGTTAAGGTGTTCGCCTCTCGTTCAAATGTCCTGGGTTCGAATCCGGGTAGCTACGGACACAATTTCTTTCTTAAAATGGTCTCCTTTCACCTCCTTTCCTGCTCTCTAGCAATGTTCTGTCGTCTGATTTCGTCTCCACTTTCTGCCCCCACCCCCTCACCTCCTTTGCCCCCTCCACTGGGCTCCGGACTCTTTCTGCAGCCTTTCTACTGCTACTCCTTGGCTCCTTCTTACTGCTGTCTTTCAGCCAGACCCCTGATCTTCTGGTAGGAAAGATCAACACTTAGCCTGCTCGGACAAGGGCGAAAAATCTCGGAGGTCCTGTGTACCAGTTGCGAACGTTAAAGATCCCTTGGGAGTCTAAAATCGATAAGAGTAGTCTTTGGCCGCCCC